TGTCCATAAAAGCTATCTTTGCCCAATCCTAGAGACTGACTTAGGTCTGTGCAGTTTAGGAGATTTTCAATTTGGTTGAAGAAACATCAGAGGTTGCTCTTAGGTTGCTGACAGAAACTTGATTGAAGACGTAGAAAGACTTTGTTACTCAGGGTAGAATGGAAAACGCATTTAAGTTGTAACTACTACATTGATTTTTTTTCCCCAGTCGGCTTTGGAGTTGCTAACTTCCCTGGAGAAGAAAGACCTTCTACAGGAGTCTGACCTGAGTATTCTTGAATATATCTGCCAGAAAACAGCACCTCATCTCCTGAGGAAAATAGAGATATACACACAAGCAAAAGGTGTCTAATTTTGAAAAATACTGCTTATCAACTATTTGTGGGCATCATTCTTCTGTGCAAGTCACGTGACCTGTGACTTAAATGCCAAGCCAACAAGGGTTTATTAAGTATGCCTTTGTTATCCTTTGAAGGGGGGGCAGGTGGCAAATGTGGAACATAACCTATTTCACTGCCTTCCTTATTTCTTCCTTAAACCCTGTACTCCGTATCTGGTTAGAGATGTCTTTCTTCTATAAACTCACTTTTCAGATTTCAGCAGAAAAAGAGCAAAAAGGAACAGAGAACGTGAAGGGAGGCAGGGAAAGGGCTTGGGCTTCCCTCCATTCCTTCCATATGTTCTGTATCATGTAACAAATAGGCAAGAATATAGTTAACACAAAACTATATTTAGTATGTGACTTAGGACCATCACCCCCAATTTCAAATATACCAGCTAACCTACAACTCCTATTGATTATGGGTTATCTAAGTGGCTTTGGACTACTTCCAAGCATCTGGAAGAGAAACGTTGATCTGTAATTAAAGTTGCCATAAATATTTTCTATCTTATACAAAAACACCCTCATGTGAGCTTAAAAATTTTTTTTAAGGGGGGGGGAGTCCTAATCCAGCAGGTGGAAAAGGTGTTTCTTTAGTCAAGATGCTTAAGAGCTGCATCTGCCTGTATGGAATAGCATTGCCAGAAGAGATTGAGGGAAAGGCAGGAAAGGAACCTCGCATTTCTTTTTCCTCTTTCATGCAGTATCCTGTCCCAACCTGGTTGCTCTCGCCTTCCTGTTTGTTGATTGCAGGTGGCAAACTTAAGCATCTCCTAAGTTGATCAGTGCTGAATTTGCCCCATTAGTTTTTCTTAAGGCATCTTGTTTGGATAAGACATGTATTATGTATTAGCCATGGTGGTGCAGTGGTTAGAATGCAATGCTGCAGGCTACTTCTACTGACTGCCGGCTGCCAGCAGTTCGATTCTCACTGGCTCAAGGTGGACTCAGCCTTCCATCCTTCCGAGATTGGTAAAATGAGGACCCAGATTGTTGGGGGCCATAAGCTGACTCTGTAAACCGCTTAGAGAGGGCTGCAAAGCACTGTCAAGCGGAATATAAGTCTTTAAGAGCTATTGCTAATGCTATTTTGTGCAAAAGTTCATTTATTCATTCATCACATTGATATAGCAACCCATCTCACATGCATGATTCTGGTTGGCATACCAAAACCCAACAGACTATAAAAAACAAACTTTAAAATTATACTGCAATAGAAACTATTATAAAAAAAATAGTAAAATCATTAAGCAAAATATTAATTAATTGCCACAGTTGTTAAGTGAATCTGGGTTCCCCGCTGACTTTGCTTGTGAGAAGATCACAAAAGGGGATCACATAACCCTGGGACTCTGCAACAAATATGAATCAGTTGCCAAGCATTTGTATTTTGATCATGTGACCATGGGGGTGCTGCAACGGTCGTAAGTGTGAAAAATGGTCATAGGTTATTTTTTTCAGTGCCATTGTAACTTTGAATTGTCACTAAATGAACTGTTGTAATTCGAGGAATACCTGTAATGGGTTCACGTAAGGTCCACTGCAGTAAAGCTTGTAAAATTGTAGGCAATGATGACCATTATGACTTATGGCCGAAATTTTAGGCTCAATTGCAGTTGTAAGTCAAAGATCTCGTATATTTCTTTTTTAAAAAACTGCTGTCATCTTTCCAGAGCCTTTTTTTTTTTAATGCAGAGTTGCATTTGGGGAAAAAAGTTCAAAAATGCAACCACAAAAAAGCCATGAATAATAATAACCTAACGACACCCTATTTTTAATTACACGGCTGCGATTAAGTTAATTGTGAAACATAAGCTGAATATTCTGCTTATTGTTTCAGTTATACAGTATAGTTACAATAATAAAAGAAAGAAAATGGCGTTGCTAAAAGAATTCCCTACAAAATAGGGGAGATTCTAGGCCGTTACCTCCATCATTGAGCTGTTTCATTCTAGCAAAAATACCACTTTCTGAAACATTTTGAAATTACCAGTTACTTCCCCAGATATCAGAAATTGTGTGTTCAGACTAGTGGTTAATATGGAGTGCAATCACTTTAAAAAAAACTAGGTGTGCTAAAGAGTTCCATTTTCTTTGTTCATTGTCATATGACTCTTCCTTCATTTTAGTTGATTGGTTAGCACTCTTAAAAATATTTAGTACTTATTTGGAAAACAAAAAGTCTGCTCTTTCCAAATCATTTTATTATCTGTTGCTTTGTAGTGCCTCATCAAGAAAACAAAGAAACTGTTCCCTCTTCTGTTTGTGCCTTTAACATGCCAGTTTTGGGAAACACTTCTCTCCAGGTATGCCTTAGCAAATGTTGTTTTCCATTTGTGAACAGAAACTTGTCTCAACATTTTCACTCTGGAGGAATCTTTGAAAAAATGGTTGGATCTCAAGGAATTATTATATCACAGTAGTTAGTGTGAACAGTAAGCTGAGTTGTTGTACATAAAGATTCCATCCATGTGACTACAAGGTTCAACAACCTTTTTTCTTCATGGTCTCTCTTAACAATCCTAGCAAAGGGGCAGGCCAGCAGCTATGTGTTACAACCTAAATATTCCAGTTCTCAAATGCTAGCATTGCATTAAACGCAAAGTTTAAAAATGATTTTTTAATTTCCACATATCTTATGGGCTACTTAGCAACCTCTCCCAGAACCCCGGTTGAGAAAGGCTAGTAGAGAGTATTTTACAATCTTATGGGTAGGCTGGTTTAGGTGTTCGGTCCAGGACCACTAGTTATAGGGGCTCTTTAATGCTGCTTTGACTCAATTGTTTCAATTTCTCCATTACTTCCTTTGATTATTTTATTAGGTTTTTTAATGACTAATAATCTTTTATTTAATTTCTGCATTCTGAACTCCTTGCTTATCTGCTTTGATAACAGTGCTGAATGAATAAAATTTCCCAAAACTGTACCTCTTCAGCCAACTTCTTCTAGTTTTATGTCTCCTAGGGAGGGTCAGGCACCTTTATGCACACATGTGCACACATGCTAATGTGGCTGCGTACGCATGTGCACAAATGGGGCCATGAGAATGCACGCTCCACAAATGGGGCTGCTAGTGCCGGCGCAAGGCTCGTGGCTCGGTTAGCACCAGTGCAAGGGAGGGTGAGCACGCGTGCACACGTGTGCACGCTGGTCAGACACTCATGCGGCACAGTAACCAAGAGGCCATGGTCCAGTAGTAGGCCACGGTCTGGTAGTAGGCCACGGCCCATAGGTTGGGGACCTCTGTCCTAGAGGAAAAGGGGCATTAAAAATCCTCAGGAGGAGAGCAACTATACTAAAGGATTGTATTTGCTTGGAAAGTAATGAATACCTGGCATATGACATAAAAATATTATGTAGAATGTATAAAGATACTTCAAATTTATGCTGGAAACGCAAACAACATAAAAGGTCATTTTATCATTGTGGTAGTAGGCACAGACCAAAAGACAGTGGCGGTGATAGATGCAGCAGCTCCAAATGACAGCAATATCAGGAAGAAGGAGTGTGAGAAACTGGAGAATTATCAGGACCTAAAGGAGAACTAGAGAGGACATGGAAAGTAAAGGCCAAGGTGGTCCCTGGGGTAGTAGAAGCAGTTGCGAGTATGACCCCTAAGCTGGGGGAGAGGCTCCAACAGATGCCTGGAACGACATCAGAGCTCTCTGTCCAGGAGAGTGCAGTGCTAGCAGAAGCTAAGATCCTGCACAGAATCCTCAAATGCCTGGCCTCTGGTAGAGGACCCAAGATTGTGGAAGACATGTACCACCAATAGCGACGAGAAGGGAACTTTATAAAAAGTAGCACTAGTCTGAACTTGATTTTGAGCAAGTGAAAAGCTACTTGACAGTGAGTTCAAAGGGGAAAGAGGTTTTTGTTTTTTTAAAACTGTTAGGTAGAGGCCATGCTACATGCCGGAACATAAATGCATGGCAGTATTTAATGTTCCAGCATGTATTAGAGAGGTTGGAGTATCCATTATTTTAATCTTTATTGGTGATTCTGATTTGGACAAATATCTTTTCTTCTTTCTTCTATTGTTCTGCGTGTCCTCTTAGATCTCCTTGTTACATCTATATATCGTAAAATGTAAATAGTGCCTATTGCTTTATTTAATAGAAGGCACCAATTTCTGACAATGTTTTAATATTCCATCTCACTTTTTCCTTTTAAAATGTTCCAACTAGTATGTATAGATTACAATTTGCATTAGGAGGAAATAGAACTAGATTAGTATTATGATGAAATGGAACAAAAATATTCTACCAAAAGTTTTAAGTTCTGACACCCTCAATCCTGTTCTTTTTCCTGATCAGACTTCTAGAGTATTTGCTAGGAAATGTTTAGCCAGTTAAGTTGATTTAGGATGGCATCGTTAGGAGTAAGCTAAACTCAGAGATGGCATTCTTCTGGGTAGATATGCCAAGAAATACCTCATTTTAATTTTTCTTTTTTCACCCTCTATGCAGAACCCTGTTCCACCAAAGAATCATGGTAGGTAGTTTTGCAGTTTACTGCAAATGTTCTGGTTTTTCTAATTTGCCTGTTAGATTTAAGTTTTTGTCAAACTTTCTTGCCATTCACCTCAGCATTGTAACATGTCCTGTATGTAGAGTCATAGGTCCACCAAGGTTTATGCCAGATGAACAGGAATGCAGCCCCTTTTGCCAGAGCGCTGGTAGAACGGTCACCTGTCTTTATTCTAAAAGGCCATTTGAATAATGTGTTGCGCCCAGAATACGTCCAGTTCTGCTTTCTACATACTGTCCTAGACAGACTAGGACAGTGGTGGCGAACCTATGGCAC